ATGAATGGGATAAATTGATGGGCAGATAGTTGGTATTTAGAAAAGAAAAGGATTGAAGGATTGATTGATGGATGAAATAGATGGATGGATTGAATAAATGAATGGCATAAATTGATGGGCAGAGATGGGATTGAAGAAAGAAAAGTATTTAAGTATAGATGGATTGAATAGATGAAAGGTGGATGGGATAAATAAATGGAGAACCAAATTAATAAATAAAATCACCTCTTGCAACACAGTTTATAAGCTTGATGATTAGTTTGGCCATGTGATATCCTGGAGCAGCCTGATCGAAAATAGAAAACAGAATATTTAAATATTGTATGCGACTAAAAGCTATTCAATTATCAAGTTGGGCAACTTACCTTTCCTCCAATCATGACAGTTCGAGGAACAAATGACATGTTTGGGTTGGCCTTCAAACCTTGTTGACAACAAAAAATATATGAAAATTAGTGTCGATCTACTTGACTTAACCGTGAAGATTAGAGCTTGTCAACCAATCAGATTACGAATCGAAAACAATAGAAGTCAAGTTACATGTATTGAAAGTCTATAAAAGCTATTCAAGGAAATGAAATGATGAAAGAGAAAGAAAAAATAAAAGTATTATTATTCACACAATTAAAAAATAAAATAACATGAACTTGAGTGTTCAAGGTTAGAGTACAATGACAGTAAATATAATTATACATGCAAAGAAGAATGGTATTAACAGACATTTCAATTGCAAGTGTCTGATGATGCATACTTCAATGTAATATTTACATGCTACAGGAAATAATATTAATATATTATTATATAGATATCGATGAAATACCAGGGTTTCTCTAGTGTCGAAAACTTGATATCTTTCACCAGTGGAAGATATCTTTCACACGTGAAGATATCGCTGTTGACATAGTAACGTATTTTAATAAAGAATTTTTGAGCTTTTGTTTTATTTAAGTTTCATCGATATCTATATAATAAACAGAACATTACATGGCCACTATTGAGATATCAATTGAACACTTGAAGATAAAATTCGTATCTCCGCGTGCCCATGTAATATCCTCTATATCTACAAGTTTCAGAGTTTTCAACACCAGCCAGATGAATAGGCACTGGGGGAGCAGCGAGCGAATCTCTCTCATGTTTTCCCTACATTTTCGGGAAATTTAAACGTAGCGAGTTAATATAAAAAAACCCGGCAAGATTCGCCAGCTGTAGGCTTCTTTTGAAAACCCTGATACTTTCTGTTCTCTTTAGTGAACAAATTCTAAGAACTACTGCAAGAAAAAATGAATAACTCTAAGAACTAAAACTCAGATATACTTACGATTGTATAAGATAATGACATGAAAACATGTCATGAGCTGTCGCTTGTATTCATGGATTCTCTTGACTTGAATATCAAAAATAGAATTGACATTGACATCTACTTTGAACTCAGATTTGATGTGCGCAGCCAGACGAATCTTGTTTTCCTGTAAAATAACAGTAAAATAATAGTAAATTATTTTAACACTGTCTTATATCCATCTCCTGAAATATTTTGCCTTGCAGGTTATTTTGACTGATTATGTTGAGCAAGAAACTAGGTATGACAGAGATAAAACTAATTTGGTTGGTCATCATGACCAGCGACTGACCGTCCATTATCTTATTATAAGCAAGAGAGTTAAATTGGTAAGGTGTTTTCCATGTTTTTAAAGACTTACAAAAATTTTCAAATTCTTGGAATCATAGTTTTCCAGGCAAAACTTGACCATTAATACTACTCACAACTACTGAGAGTAAAAGAAATATTATTTAACTAAGTTAATCCTACCTGTTTTGCCCTCATGAAAGCATGCAAAAAGCTTTTATCATCAACAAATTGGGTCAACTTCTTGAGTTCAAATAAGTCAGTAATCCAAGTTTCACCAATTTTCTGTAAGAAAATGGTTTGCATCAAAAATTAATACGTAAATTAATAATTATAAAAAAATTACACAAATATTCTATCCAGATATGTTTCATGGGAGATATGTTATATGGTTGTTGACTTGAAAATCTTAACTCTATCAACAACCACAAACACATCTATTTTTTCTTTTCGTGTTTGTATTTCTATCACTTTGAATATTTTGATGTTATCTTTATGATTTACAATCCAAGTTATTTAAAAATTTGTAAAAGATGGTTTTGTGTGTGAATAAATAAACAGTCTAAACAGATTTCTACAATGATCGACTGTGATCGACGATGTTGATAGCAGCCCATCAATTAGTCATTCAAACTTTGAGGGGGAAAACTGGGTCGATATGGTAATACAGTTCATTGTGATACTGTAATAGTGGACAAGATAGACAACATCTTGAAAATGTCCCCTAAGCTGTCCTACAATGCACTGTAAATTCACAGTTCCATTCAGTGACCACGAATAATAGTTCCTAGCTGAGGCTCGAGTTTAAAACTAAAGTTTATCATGTGAGGTAAATCCAGCCTCAGCTATGAACTATTATTCATGGTCACTGTTAATGGAGTATTAAGGATATATGCAGAGAAGTGAAGAATTGAGAAGCATTATTACAGGGTTGCTGAAAATATTTGGGTAACTGTCGTGGCCTGTTCATACCTCACATATAAGGTCAGATAGACCAGGATTACACATGAGAAGCCAACGACGAGGAGTCACTCCATTGGTCTTATTCTGAAACTTTTCAGGGCTGAGTTCATAAAAGTCCTTGAACCTGCAATGCATCATAAAAACATTCAACAGTCAAAACTGATCAAAGTGTATGTTTGGGTTACCTGTGGTTAGGTGTGAAATTACACAAGTAGCTCAACAATCTGAGAAAAGACAGAAATCAAAAAAGTGTGGCACAAACTTTGTTGAGCTTATAGATACTTGGGGGTACGTAGATGGGAAAAGTTAGTTTTGCAACACTTTGGGGTATCAAAAAAGGTTTTGGGAGAGTAAAGTACTTCTGGTCTCAGTGATTTTCTTTTTTGCTTTTTTTTTGGGGGGGGGGGGGGGGCAGTAAGTTTTGCAACACTTTGGGGTATCAAAAGAGGATCTGGGAGAGAAAAGTACTTCTGGTATCAGTGATTTTTGGGGAGGTGGGGGGTAACTAAAAAATTTGTGGGAGAGGAAA